GAGACAAAGGATTACTAGAACAGAATACTGTATACAATGTCAGATGTGATTACTGCATCCAATGTTTGTGTTATTTTTATCACAAGGAAATACAATAAGACCACAGGGTGTAGAAGATTAAGGTACATTGAAAGTTCTTTGTAACTATAAGGAATTACATAAATGTAAACTATCACTGAAATGGCTACTTGGAAGTGAAGAAGCAGATACTCTGCTGGACTGAATATACAGTTGGAGATGGAAGGGCTGTCATTATTGAAATATTAGGCTGTAGAGGAGACAGCAAAATATTTTCACACGTTTCAGTTGTTGTCACCACAGAGCTGTGGGAAAAAGGAACACCTTGCATTGCAGCTGGGTTTTAAAAACACGGTAAATGTGCTATCAAGAACCTACACAAGGATGGGGCAGCTAGGTTGCACAGTAGATAGAGCACAGGCTCTGGATTCAGGATGACCTGAGTTCAAATCCAACCTCAGACACATAACACTTACTAGCTGTGTAACCCTGGGCAAGTCACTTAACCCTAACAAAAAAAAAAGATTGAAAAGCAAAAAGAACCTACACAAGGAAGGCTCGAAGGCCTAAGTGGTCAGAGGGTGTAAAGATTGAAGGTGGGATGGCAGGGAAGGACTACAGGTGAGTTCAAAGGTTGACCAGTGAAAACTACTTTTATTTCTAAGAATGGATAAAAGTACTGGAACAGAGAAGGTAAGCTTCCGATAATGGTAGTTTTCAGATGGGATGGTGGTTAGTTAGAAACAGGCAAGGATGCAATGGTCACACCGTAAATGAATCCCTTATTTAATATCAATAGTTTAAAATCATATCACTTAAAAGTAATGTTTATTTACCACTAGGTGGCAATAATACAGGCTAGATTTCACTAACAAGGTAAGTCAGAAATCATAGGCAAACCAGGACAAAATTTCTGAGATTTTTAGTACAGACTTTTCATTTCAGATAAATGAAAGATTTTTTTAAACTACTGTTATTTGTCCCTGTGACCTGAAGCAGTTCATGCAACAGATATAATTTTTAAAACAAATATTTCATTATAGAGCCTACTTTAAATTCCAGATACGGTATATGAAAATTTCAAATGGCAATTACAGAAAGTTTGAAATGTCTGTAAGAGGCTTTTAGTGGTCTAAGAAAGGCACTATAAAGATGAAAAATACGGATGATAAAGTTAAATATTATTCTTAATGACTAATGGCAATTCTTCAAAAATTACATCCATATTAGGATTAAATCAAGATGTACCAATTTCAATACAAAGACACTTTGATTTCAAATTACAAACTTCTTAAACAATATGCATACAATATTTGAATGCTTCAGCAATATTAGGTAAACATATTGAGTCTGATATGCAAACTCTTAGTAAAACCTTGATTGATACGAATTAAAAGCCAATAGAAAGATACATCTGTTCCCTCAGTCTTTAAAACACACAGAGAGAGCAATTAAATTCCTTATAGTCTGGAACTTTCCAAAATAACTTGTTTTCTTCATTAATAGGATGTAAACATATGGCTTATTTAAAATGCTCACTTCACCTCTCCATTTAAAGGTTTTCTTCTTTTTTGCATTATAAACAAGGGGAGAGAATTTTTGCAACTCTGATCACTGATAGCATCTCAAAGTCCCCCAATGGGATCTTTTGATAGCTTTTGAATTGGATGGATGATGTTCCCCAAAACTATCATGATACATGGTCTCTGGGGGTAGGGACATGCGCTCTGATCTCAATGAATGTTTAATAAGTATTCTTGGACTGAAAGCCTGCCCTTTCTATAGTCTGTCTGGCAGGCTCACTGAAAAGAGGCCTGTTTGTTTTCCTTTATACAATACCCTGTATTTACTGTGAACCCAGTCGTTTAGCAAAATTTTCAGATAATATACTTAAATCTCATTTATCTACAAATAGTGGGGTAGAAAATCTTTTTCTCCTCTCACCTATCAGAGTCTATTTTCCCCAGGCAGCTAAATAGTAAGAGAATCCAAAATTACCTGACAGTTCACATTTCCAAAACAACCTTTCCTCCTGCCACCTTCATTAATGTTAGAGGGAATAATAACTACAACTTTCTGAGCTTGAGAAAAAAAATCCACACACAACCACTCCTTCTGCTATTATTGTGGATAATTTAAAATGAACTGTTAAATATAATTATTACTTACTTTGGATCTAATGCTATATGACAGATTTTTCTTCATCCTCACAACCTAAATAAATAAGACAATTGTTTCAAGATGGCAGCATTAGTTGGCACAAAGGAAAGACAACTGTGGCAGCTCCCTGAATCAGGCAAAAAATTATACTGGGTGTAAAGAAGGTGCTCAGTGACTATTTTACTTGTAGAATCTTGCCATTAATACTTACGGAAATGCCACTTGGTCAAAAATAAGGAATGGGACAAGTGATAGACATATAAGTTTTGCATACATATATAGAGATATAGATATAGATATAGGTACAGATTCATATATCAGCTCCTGATTATGTGCAGAAATGGAGAGGGAAAAGAAAAATAATACAAATAGTCCCCAAACCATTTGTATGGCTTCGGAATACATTTTTGCATTTGAATTTATGTCTGAGAATCTGGAACCCTTAAAGAAAACTAAGCTATATTGCAAATAGATTAACAGTCACAAATACAATTACCAACACAGTGAAATTTTAAAATACTGTTATTGAGTTGGATTCATTGTCATCTTCTGTTTATTTCTTATAGTGGCCCGGAGCTTACGTATTACCAGTTTGTCAGGCAGAATCATATCGCCTTGCTGTTCTAGATAATCCAATAAATTTTCAGTCCACTTGAGAGCAGCTGCATGATTAATATTCCTCTCTGGGATCAGTTCTATTTCCTCCTCCTCATTTTCACTTGATTCATCAGTTTGGCCCTGTGCTCTTCTGATTATTTCACTATCAGTTAACACCTCATAACCTGGTTCAGTACTGTCCACTTCAAACCACTGTTCAATATTCTCAGTGTCTACCTTTTCACATCCTTGTGTATGCTGTAAGATGGTGGCTAAAGTAGCTGCTGAAATTTCTTCTTCATCAAAGTCCAAATCATCATTTTCTTCATTGCCAGGGAAAATTTTGTTCCATGCTCTGATAATGGTAACTGGCTTAACCATATTCCATGCCATTGAAATTTCATACAGAGCATCTAATAATGTTAGTTTCTTCCAAAACATTTTCAGATCATTACCCTCCTCTAAGTTGTTTTGGAGAAGTCCTGCTCTATAGTATCTCTTCATTATAGCTATGACACCCTGATCCATAGGTTGAATCAATGAGGCTACATTAGGTGGTAGATATTTTACAAATATCTGGCCATCATCTGATCTTAGGACATTTTCATTTGGATGTGTCGGTGAATTATCCAATAACAGCACTGCCTTTTCCTGAAGGCCTTTGGATCTTAAGTACTCTCGAACTTGTGGCACAAAGATCTTGTCAAACCACTGTCTGAAAATAGAAAGGTCCATCCATGCACCTTTCTGACTGAAATAGGAGACTGGCAGGTTTGAGGTGTCAGTACCTTTAAATGAACGTGGTTTTTTTGCTTTTCCCACTACACAAAGTTTAAGTTTGTGTAAACCTGTTGCATTGGCACAACACATGACAGTGACTCTTTCTTCAATTAACTTGCACCCAGAAGGAGTGAATTTACCCTTGACAGCTGAAGTCCTTGTTGGTAGGCATTTCCAAAACAATCCAGTTTCATCAGCATTATAGATTTGCTCAGGCTGTAAATTCTCCCTCTGAACAAATTCCTGAAAGTGGCTACAAAATTCATCCACAGCAGTTTCATCTCCATTTAACTTTTCTCCTCTGATGTTAATCTCACGAATGCTATGTCTCTGCTTAAAACGAGTTAGCCAGCCAGCCGAAGGATTAAAATCTCCATCCATTCCTAAGGCATAGAAGAAAAACTCTGCTCTTTTTGCACAAATCGGTCCAGATACAGGATTCCCCTTTGCTCTTTGCTGGTTAAACCATTCCAGCATAGCTCTGTCCAGTTCTTCATACATGGATGGTTTCATTGACTTTCTCTTGGCCAAGAGACTTGTTGAATCAGAACTGCTAGCATAAGTTATAATTTTTTCTTTATTCTTCCTTATATCCCTAACTGTCGTTTCACCAATCCCATAAATCACTGAGAGCTGTTTGGAAGAGCTGCCTTCTTCGAGTTTCTTTATGATATCAAGCTTATCCTTAATGGTCAACACCACGCGCTTGCGTTTCCCTGACATTTTGAGACTCTGGGAATCGCTCAACGTGAAACACAGAAGGAAAACCCTCTTGCTTCACAAAAGCTCTCCGTCTGCCACACTTGTCACTTTCTCAGATCTAGACTCAGTTACTGCGGCACTGACCCCTTTCAGGCTGGGCTGGCACAGGGCTCCAGGGGAAGGAGAGAGTGAGAGTGGCAGGCCCGAGGACCCAGATGGGCAGCCAGGCTCGGGGAGGGAGAAGGCCCAGAGCCGCCGCGGATAATCCGGATTATGAATGTTTGTTTACTTCTTTTCTCTCCATCTCACGCCACCGCGGAGGGAGGAAGAACACAATCTCGGTACTGACCCCCACGTGGGGCGGGGGCAGGTGTATAGTGCTCCCCAGGGAGAATCAAAGTTGAGCCCGGAAGCACCCCGGCCGGGGAGGGGCCGGCGTCCGTCGACTCCCTCTCCCCGGGGGACTCAAAGCTGGGGCCGGTACCCCCGGCCGGCCGTACCCCACCCCACCCCAAGCCGCAGGGACTCTTCCCTCCAGGAGCCTCAGCAGGGTCGCCAGAGCCTCCCCGCCCCCTCCTGGCCCCGCGGGGACCCGCTCCCCACCTCTGAGCTCTCGGCCAGGGGCCCCCCAGCGCAGCTCCCTCACTACACAGCCCAGCCAGCTCCTCCCACTCCAGGACGCGCTCCCGGAAGACGGCCCCCCCACCCGCGAGCCTCCCCAAAAGAAGGCGGGACTTCCGACCGCCCCCTTCAGGAAGGAGCCGCGGGACGCGCCAGTTGTCGAAGCTGACTCCTGAGGCAGAGGTGTAGGCGGAGACGTGGGCGGGGGCGGAGGCGGAGGCTGCCGAAGGCGGCGAAGGCGGCGGCTGCGGCGGTTTGAAAGGTGAGGGAGCGGGACCGCTTAGGGCGGGGGTTTGTCTGCGCTCCCTCGCAGCGAATGACTTTTCTAGAGGGGCGGGGTAGAAGGCACCCATCCCCCGGTGCCGGGCAAATAACTCCCTCGGCTCCCGGGCGAGGGTGGTGGCCTCGGGTGGGGAGGGGCGGGGGCGGGGACGGCCTGTGACAGCCCTTCCCTTCCCTTCTTTTCCCAGCCGAGCGGAGCCGAGCCTAGCTGCCTGCAGCCTCTGGGGACACCCTTTCCCCTCCGGGGGAGGCCCGGGAATAGCAGGTAAGTCCGGGCTGGGAAGCCCGCGTTTCGGTGTTCAATCCGCTGTGCTTTCCCCCTCTTCTCCCCTCCCCTGCTCCGGGCTCTCTCCTTGCTCCGCCCCGAGCGTTTCTGTGGCGCGCTTTTATCCCAAAGCTGTGCCTCAGCTTCTGGTTTCTCAGTTATGTTTCCCATCCCTCCTCCCTCTTGGAGACAGGCTGCGCTAACCTCCCTCTGGCAGAAGTGGCGGGGATAGATGTGCGTGCATGTATGTGTGTGTGTGTGTGTGTGGTGTGTGTGTGGTGTGCGCGCGTGTGCAACAAGGAAAATAATACAGGGGTTTTGTGTGTGTGTGTGTGTGTGTTTTTAATGCGCCATGGTTGTTATCCTCTCTCATTTTGAAGTAAATTTTGCTACACGCCTTGCAGAGGTGTATGAACGCTGGTGAGATAACCAATCTAGAGAGCCAAATCCGCAGGGTTGGCCCAAGTCAAAATTGTGAAGGCATGGATAGACATTTGTTGTGCATCTAAGTGTCTGAATAATGTGAGTCTGTGATATTTGTTGCTTTATCTTTAAGGCAGCAAAGAGCTTTGCATGCCTGATGTCACTTCATCTTCACAGAGACTGCGAGATAGAACTAGTTAATATTTTTAATCCTTTTTTTTCCCCTTACCATTGAGGTAATGGAGTACGTACAGAAAGGCGAAAGTGACTTTCCCCGAGTAAGTGGAGGAGGTGTAATTCAAGCCTAAATTTTCTGACTTTTGGATGGTTGGTTTTTCTATTGTTCCATGCCCTTAACACCTTGTGGCTCAGCGTCTCTATGTTTGTTGCCCAGGCACTGGAGGAAAGATTAGATGAACTAATTAATAATTATGTATTAGGTTAGAAGGTATCTCAAAGGCAAACTAGTCCAACCCCCTACCTAATGAAAGCATGATCTTCTGCCCCTGAAAAATTATCTTGCACTCTGCTTGAAGAGATCTGTGGTATATATTGTACAATATTAAATATCAAATAAGTAAAAATAATAGTACTGACATGTTTGTATCCACCTGTCCCTTGCTTTCTCTGTTAGGAGGTTTCTCTTTGTCCTTAACTAGAGGCAAAATAGCATTAAAGAAGCTTGATGGAATCCTGGTTTCATGAAATGCAGCTTACGTGCAATTTCCAAATAACTACAACTGTTAAGTTGATTTCTTGATAAGCATAGCACCTCCTCCTGAAAGCTGGGAGAGATGATTTACCTCTCTGTCAGCTTTACCTTCACAGTTCCCTCCCTAGTTCTCATTTCAAATCTCTGATTTCAGCTTTTCTTTGATCTTCAATCTCTCCTCCTGCTGTCCCAATATCTTACCCCCCAATATTTCTATGGGATCTGCCTTTAAAGGAAATCAAACCAACCATATAGCCCCTTTTTTAAAAATTAAATTTTCAGTTAACAGGTATTTATTTTCTCTCCCTCCTTTGTCCTGCCCCCCCCCCAATACCTTTTATAATAACAAAAAAAGATTATGCTAAAAGTCATCTAGTGATTAGGAAACTACCCTTTTTAAAGCAACCCATTGCACCTATGGAAAATTCTGATTAGAAAGTTTTTCTTTACATCTAGCTTAAAACTGCCTCTATTCTACCAAAGTCCATTACTGTTAGGCCCTTTGGACCAAGTGGCACAATGGATAGAGTGCTGGGCCTGGATGGAGTCAGGAAGATAGGTCTTCCTGAGTTCCAATCTGGCCTTAAACACATACTTGCTGTTTGACCCTGGGCAAGTCACTTAACCCTGTTTGCCTCAGTTTCCTCATTTTTAGAAATGAACTGGAAAAGGAAATGGCAAATCACTCCAGTATCTTTGCCAAGAAAACCCCAAATGGGGTCATGAAGAGTAGGACAGGCCTGAAATTACTGAATGACAACAAAAACAAATTTAATCTCTCTTCTACATGATAGACTTGCAACTACTTGGATCCAGAACTTTAATATTATTTCCCTCCCTTTTATTTACCTTTTCTCTTCTTCAGGCTAAATACGCCCATTTACTTCAATTGATCCTAGTTTGGCATGGTTTCTAGTTCTCTATCTTACTCACTTTACTGAACCTGAGAGTATCTTGAATATTCCTGAGAGTATCTTGAAAATTCAACACCCAGAACTGAACAATATATTCCGGAGGTTGTCTGTCCCAACTGTGTTGGGACTCTACTTGTAGTCTCCCTTGTTCAGGACACCCTGCCTTTTTCATAAAGCCTAAGATTGTGATAGATTTTTTGGCTGTCACATCTACCTTCTCTCTGACACTCTCTCTCATTTACTCTTTATATGAACGTAATTGTTTGCATGTTGTCTCCCATATTAAAATGAGAGCTCTTTGAGGACAGTTTTGCCTTTCTTTGTATACCCAATACTTAGCATTGTGACTTATATATAGCAAGCACATAATAAATGCTTATTGACTACAAGACTGGGATTTACTAAGTTCCTTGATTTTTTTTCCCCACACAAAGTGTTTTCTGGCTTTGCCTCCCCCTGCACTGTATTTGTGCAGTTTATTTTACTTTTGTCCCTACTAAGTTTTATCTTGTTAAATTTAAGCTATCATAAGATTTTTTTAAATCCTATTTTCTGTCAAGTTAACTGTTTCTTCTAGGTTTGTGTTATCTACAGATTACTAATCATGTGCTTTTTGCCCAAATCTCTTACAAAAAAAATTTATTGAGAAAAAAAGGAGGTATGGAAAGAGTTACATGGTTGTACTGGGAGTACTTTGGTGAAGCTGATATTTTTAAAAGAAGAATTTGTACAAAAGATGAATACAAATTCACAAAATCAAGGACAAATATGAAAGAATGGCATAGGCCCATGAGAATAATGTAAGAAGGGGTTAAAGACCAGAATGTCCTGAGGCTTGTGAAAAATGCTAAAGACAATGAAACGTTTTTGGTTTTGTTTTTAATCTATTTTGGAGATAAGAAAACTAAGGGAAAAATAACCATTGCATGGGTAATTGTAACTGATGAAAGAAAGCAGAATTATTTAACTCCTGTTTTGTTCCTGTTTTCTTTGTAAAGGAGAATAATCTTTAGACTGAAAAGGATAGAATTAAAATGGTCATGAGGGAATTTCATCTAAGATAAATGAGGAAATAGTAAGAGAGTATCTAAATCAAATCATCTGACTCAGATTAGTTACAAATCCAGGATACAGAAAGTATTGTAGCTATGATTGCTGAACCAATGATTGTTGAAAACAAACTTTGAGATATGGAAAATGATAGAGGTACTTGAACAACGTGAAATTTATTGGAGATAAATGTAAAATACTGGACTTAAGCACAAAACAAAACACTATACTTACTAGTTGCAGAAGATATGGCTAAATAGTTCATTGGGGAAAGACCTGGGGTTTTAGTTGATTTAAAAGCTCAGTTTGAGTGAACTGTATGATACAGTAGCCAGAAAAGCTAATGTGATCTTAGGTGACATTAATGATAATATAATGTCCAGAGCAAGTGCTAGGCAGGCCTTATGTGGAGTTCTTGGGACCACGTTTTAGTGAGGATTTTTATAAGCTGGAGCTTTCCCAGAGGAGAGTAACAAAGGGTAGTGAGGGAGCTGAAAACAATAACCTAGAATTGTTTAAACTAACTGAAGATGATAAATGGGGAGAAAAGAAAATTTAGGGAAGAAATTTTAACTGTTCATGGAAGTGTTTTTTTCCCAGAGGGGAGAACAAAGACCAAAGGGTAGAAATTAAAGTGAGGCAAATTTTAACTCAATAGTAAGGAAGGACCTCCTAAGGATTAGAAGTGTACAAAAACAGATTCCTTCATGAAGAAGTCTTCAAGCAAAAGTTAGATGATCACTTGTCAGGGGTGTTAAAGAGAGTGTTCATGCTTTAAGTGTGTGTTGGACTAGATCATACTAGTAAGGTTCTTTCCAACTCAGGATTCTGTAATCTCTAAATTCTTTAATCAGTTAGAAAGCAACCATTTATTAAGTGCTTCCTGTGTGCTAGAACTTTTCTTCTTAAGTGATAGGTCTTCAGAGTGCCCCAAAAGAAATTATATTCACAGTCTGGAGACCAATACAACCACCATTCTTTGAAAAAAAATATTTTTTCCCCTGGAAATATGTTATTTTAATATTATGCTAAAAATCAATGATATGGTATAGATAAGATATGCAAATTTTCACCAGTGCTGTGTATTCTCTCCCTACCCAGTAGCTTTCATGGTTCACATAAATTTACGGGTTATGGCTTCACTAATATAAACTGAGATTTTTTTAAAAAAACTGATTTTAAAATTTTTGATTTAAGGAATTTTTCCTAATGTTTTCTCCTGAGATTATAATTTAGTAATATTGCTATATAAACTAATGGCTATTTTAATGCTCTCTCATTTTAACAATCTTAAATATAAATAATGTTGGCATCTGTCATTTTGTAGCACTGGATTTTGGGTTCTGATACCTGTTCTACTTATTTCTGTTATCTGGGAAAGGTCACTTAGCATCTCTGTCTCTCAATTTGTAATAGAGGAATAATAAACAGTAACTCATATGGATATGGTGCTCCAAGGTTTACATGGAGTTATTGAGAAGAGAAAATAGCATTATGGAAAAGTACTTTGGAAAAAATCAAAAGTACTATTACAAATGCATTAATTTTGTGTTGTGTCTATTCAAACAAGTTCATTATCATTACCTAGAAATGATATACAAATCTCATAGTCATGTGGCAAGTATTTATAATGATTGACTTATTGATGCTAAAACAATTAGATATGTAATGTGATCAATTAATATTTATAACATCATTTTAGTTGCTGAGATAGCCAGCTTTATTTTTATTTTCTGGAATCTCTAAATTTGCATCTGCTCATTTGCTAAAATTTGGTTTCTTTTTATGTTTTTACACTATTAACTTATGAGTCACGTTGAACTGTATTATTAATTTTATATATTACTGTGTCTTAATAGTTATTTTTCTGAATTATATTAGGTTTCATACTTCTGTTATTATCTAAAATCATACCAATCTATACAACAAAACTAATTTCTGGTATATAACATTAGCAGCATTATTGAGCTTGTTACTAGAAGGCGTGACTGTAAAATAATATGACTCATTTTTTTAACAGACATACCAGAGCCTATATCCAGAGGATTGCCTCCCTCAAAGTAGTCACTTTGGAGGCTCTAGTGATGCGTCTGTTGCTATATACATTTTTGAAATGCCTCTTTTGGAATTGCCTTTGTAACCTGTAGCAACGCCAAAAATCTTTGTCCTTTGAGGGTGGATTTTATTTCTGGAAAGATCCAAAAGTCATTTGGAGCCAAGGCTGGTGAATAAGGTAGGTAATCCAAAAAATGAGTTGTCACTAGAGTACTGAGAGTGGCTTTCTTATGTGACTTGCAAACTTTTTGAAGGCATTTCCAAATGAGGAGATCCACAAATATTTTGAGTAATGGTATCATCATTGAAATACATACTCCCAAAGTGATGTCTTTGAAGGACAGTATTTATTTGTGTGTGTGTGTGTGAATTCTGCTTTAGTGAATCTCATATTTTTCAGCAACCTCAGCAGCTCATCCTTCAATTATATGTTCCATCGCTTTGCTGATCATCATATATTTTGGCCTCTATTATTAACTAAGTTTTTCTCTATTACCTCCTTGTAACAGTGTTTTGTGGCACTTGTCCTGTTCTCAATCTCCATGATAAACCTTTTAGCCTCAGTAACACAGTGCCTTGCCTTAGACATAAATTAAACATAATATTGGTAAAGATGATGTGATAAGGTACGGTGTTTTGATATCTGAATATTCTGTTGGGTTATTTGTAGTTTTTCTGCGTGTTTTACTCTGCCTTCACATTCTGTTGTTTTATAACTATGGTCATGTTTCACAACCAGTCTCTATAAGTTGCAGTCTTATAAGTTTTTGTAGAAGTCATTCCTAAATAGTTCATTTGACAGTTCTATAATTGTTGGCGTTACTTATTGCCCAGCTGTTTTTTTCACATGGCTGAATTATCTTTTCAGTTATTATTTTTCTCATTTTCCTGCTGAGGAAACTCAATATTGATAAAATAAAGTTCAACTTTCAACCTGGCATTTAAAACCCTCCACAATAAGGCAATACCCTTATTCCAAATATTCCTTGAACTCAAAAAAAGCTCTCTGCCTTTGTCAAATAGGCCTTTTCGTTGTTCTCTAAATATACTGTATTTTAGCTGAACCTCAGACCTTTATTCTTGCTGTTTTTCCCACCTAGAATTGCTCCCTCAGTATTTCTCCTCGTCTAACCCCTATCAGCCATTCAGAGCCCATGTCAAGCCTTGTATCTTCTACAGTCTTTGATACTGCTACCTCAATTGCTTTCCCTTATCTCTGAACTCTTGTAGCATTAATGTCAGAATCATGGCACTGAATCACAGTCTCCTTGAATGCTATTACTTAACTGTTTTACATGTGTTTGTCTTGTTTCTAAATTTAAATTATAGATTTTTGAAAGACAAGGGGGTATGTCTTATATTGTTTGTAGCCCTCTCAGAATCTTGCAGTCATATGCATATTGTAGGCACTCATTACACATGTGGTGAGTGATTTATCAATACCACTAGCATACTATGTGTGATTTCTAGAATGACCATAATATGACACTAGATTAATGTAATTGACATCATAAATACATTTATTACCTTAACCTGACTATCATCTTCTTTATTATGAGATTATTCCTAATAACATTTTTTTTTGTAGAAGCTTAAGTGAAAATGGTACATGTTAGAAGATATGAAACAAGGAATAATTCTAAGACTCAAGTGCCGGCGTTGAAATCACGGGTTGACTGGAGACGGACTAAACGAAATAATATCTTACAGTTACTTGATAGTGATGAAGAGCTTGATAGTGATGAAAGTGTTGATAGTGATGAAGAGCTTGATAGTGATGAAAGTCATGACAGTGATGAAAGTCATGACAGTGATGAAAGTATTGATAGTAATAAAAAGCTTGATGATAAAGAGCTTGACTTAACTAATAAGGCAGAAAATAACAAAGAACACATAACTAAGAGTGGTGGCCTTTCAGATCATGAGGAAGAAAAAAATGAAAATAAATGTAAGACCATTAACACAGATTATGGAAAGGATCTAAGTCAAGAACATATTGATTCTAAACAACAGAGTGACCAAATAGTTACAGAGGAGGATGTAGAAGAAGAAGAGCACATCACTCGAGGAAAGCGAAAAAGGGTATCTTCTGTGATGTATGACAGTGATGATAGTGATGACAGTGACATTTTAGTTAGAAGAGTAGATGTTAAGCGTCGTCGTATAGTGGAGGATGATGACTGTTCTTCAGTGGAGGTGGATCAAAAACCTCCTAAATCTGAAAAAAGCTCAGCCATTCGGAAACAGGAACAACTCCAGAAGCTGAAAGAGCTCTCAAAACAAAGATCTCGTCAGAGACGCAATAGTGGTAGAGATTTTGAGGTGTGTTTTTTTTTTATTGAATTTCACTTGAAGAATATTTGCATTTTATCAAAAAGAAGTATTAATTATCATATTTTCAATGAGTCAGATTATTATTTTTTCTTATTTAAAAATTTCCTGTGTACATTTAACTACAATCATATCCAATTTCTTATTTGTCATAACAACATGAGACTCAGCTAGTCCATCATCAGTTCTGTTTTAAGAATTGAAGGTTACTTTTTGGTTTTGTACAGTCCTTTCAATTTTCAACTTTTATTAAAGCTTTCATTTTCAGTCAATCATTTTGTATCATTTAAACATTAAAAAAAATCTTGTCTTCATTTTAAAAGCTCAACAATTAATATGAAAAGGGAGTCATTTTTTTTTACCTTAAGTCTTGAATTCACTTAATTTCTCTTTATCATGCTTAGAAGTATGAATTGGTCATTGTGTTTCACATTCATATTGAAATTATTGTAATTTTTAAAAAGTAAAATATTAGATAAAAAGTCACTAATTTGCATGTTCTGATTTAATTAGGATTCTGAAGAGGAATCTTTACCTGATAGTGATCTTGATGATGATGAAGATGATGAAGAAGATGATGATGATGAGGAAGGAGATGATTATATTATTGATGGGTTTGTAGTTCAAGATGAGGAAGAAAGTCAAAACCAATCAGGAGAAAAAATGACTGCATCACAGCTTCAATTAGTGAAACGAAATTCTCTTTGTAAGTTAAATATTAAGGGTAGGGGTTTTGGTTTTGGTTTTGTTTTACTTACAACTTTTATTCATGTTATCCTATTATTTTGGTTTTGTAAAGAGTTATTTTCCATCTAATGGCAAGAAATGCTGATTTTAAATACAATCAGTCTTTAGTAATCTAGTTTTTGGGTTTTTTTAAACTTAGACATTTTGATATTCACAGATTTTTTTAGTGCATAAGTAATTCATAGTAGTTGATTCTGCTGCCTTGTTATATGTTTGGTAGAAGTTTAGTATGAATTTGAAACTCAGGCTTAATATTTTTCTAGATATTTCATTGGTTTGTTATTATTCCTGTTGTCTTTGAGCATGATTAGTTGAGAGTTGTTAGCATCTTACTACTTTTTTATTTTATCTCTATTGATAGCTTTTTTAAAGTATCAGATTCATTGTTTAGTATATCCTTCCCTCCCCTGCCTAGCTAGCCCTTCTTTGTGACAAATATCTTTTTTTTAAAAAATACAGGAAAACTGATCAACAAATATTGAGTATTAATTTTTTTTCTCTTTCATCTCTCCATGTCTATTGGGGAAAAATAGAAAGAAAGAATTTTATTACTTGTGTCTAAGTCTAATAAAAAAGTTGTTAGACTGCTGAATCTCTTTTTTCTGAGAAGTTTCATGAACCGTTTCCTTAAATTTTATGTTATAATGAATAAGTAAAGTAATAAAGGTTATTAAATTTGTATCTTAATATGATCAGACTGTTAAACCTTATAACATAATTAAGGAGTAAGAATGATATAAATTTCAGGAAAATTCTGTGAAGAGCCATGTAAATGAGTAGCCCTGTGTACTTGGAGTGTCAGACAATTTTACCTGGAAACAGTAAATATTCATTGAGCTGGCATCTGGGAAATAAGCTAGCATAGAAATCCAAAAATCCAAACAGAAATGACTGGACAGCTTAGTAATTCAGGTACAAAAAGGAGTGAAAAGAAAGAAAAGAATTTCTACAGAAGTTTAAAAGAATTCTGGAAGTAGCCCAGGAAAATGTATTTGTCTCCCCAATTTCCTCTGAGCTCTGTGTATTAATTTGGGTGCATAGTATTTCATTTCTGTAGAACTTTTGCTTTTTACTTACAAACTTGATGAATGTGTGCTACAAGATCAGATCTCTTGTTTCAAACCAACCTGTATCCTATATTCTTCCCCCACAGAGGTGGTGTCCTTTATTAACTAGGATCTAGTTAGAGATTTGTACTGTGAAGTTTGGATTCAAAGGACCACACTTAAGGAGGACAACATGTGGCCTCGAGGTCACAGGTTCTCCACCCCTGAACTAGACAGTATTAGCTACTGGTCTTGGGAATGGATTATATTTAAAACAGCCCAAAGAGATTAGGGGAACCAGAAAGTAGATACTACATTCTCTGTCATAAGAAGCTACTCGGGTTCAGAAATCCCACTACAAGTTTCTCTATTAGAATTAAGACCATGTGGTTTTAGGACTAGGATTTAGATGCTGCTTCTTTATCATCATGTTTATTTTAACACTATTATGGCATTCTTATTACTCTTAATAGGATGTGTTCTTACCAGAGCAGTATTTCCCTTTCATTTATCTATTTTCTTGAAGTTCATTGGCACATCTTCCTCTCCTTAAATAAAAATTATTATGACTCCATAGGATTCTAGTCATTTGGCTGTACTAAATTTAAAAAAAAAACATTTTCTTAGGAAGCTGTATGTCCTACTATTTATTACAGGTCTGTCTAGCTTCTATTTGCTGGTTTTTACAATTTATAATACATTTGTTTGAGCCTTTATATAATATCTTTACTCTGTTGCCATATTCCACCTCTTTTCCTATTTATACTCTTTCTCTCCCCTTACCTAGATCCAGCCTGTGTTGACTTGAAAAGAATGGTGGAAAAAGTTTTGTTCTTCAAGTCACATTCCAAATTTTTGTGTGGCATTGATATTTAACAGTACTCCCTTTTGAGTTGCAGTAGGAAATAGAATTGTTATAAAAAGAATATAAAGTCCCAGATATAGATTAAACATCTCTTTAATGCAGAGAAGTTTTAGTATCTTTTTAAGAGTAGTTTTGTATATAATAGTAATAATGTTAACCTTCATATTATGTTTTACTTTAAGAGAATCATTTTAATCATTCAGAACTCTAATTTATAGTTTTCTTTTCTTCATTGCCAGTTGGACTTTTCTAGGGAGATAGCATGAAATAGCAGCCAAAAATACTGTATTTGGAGTTAAGAGATTTGAGATTCCAATACTTGACCTATAATTGGGCAGATCAAGAATGTAATACTAACATTAGGAGAATAAAACTAGATCCTATATCTATCTATATCCTAGAGATTTGAACATTAGTAAGCTGATACTTTTCTTAAGTTTAATCGAGAGGTGGATATATATATATATATAGAGAGAGAGAGAGAGGAGAGAGCTTTTGATATTCCTTTCTAAATTTTATCTAAAACACATTACAGATTCTTTCAGTGACCACTACACTCACTTTGAAAGAGTTGTCAAGGCTTTTCTGATCAATGCTTTGGATGATACTTTTCTGGGAACATTATATGGTAAGTGAATAGTATCTAATAGCACATTTAATTGTGTATTTTTTCCCTCTTTTTCTCATTTGAAACAAAGAAAAGCTGTCCTTAAGACCTTTTTCTTATTCATCCCACAAACAACTTCGTCAAAGTCAGGTCAGTTCAACACATTAGTTATTGGACTTCTGCTGTTCTAAGTGCCACATAAATCATTTTTAAAATGGGATTCTTAAGAATAAGTGGTCAGTGCCTTTAAATGCTTACAACTTAGGAGAAAAGACAAAATATATGAAACCACTAAATAACTATACAGAGCAATATATTCTTAAATGTCAAAATAATTATTACAGACAATAAAATGATATAAGAATTCAGAAGAGGGAGACATCACTGTGGGTTGGGATGGCCAGGAAAGCTTTCATGGAGGAGGTGGGACTTCAGCTGGTCTTAGAATGATAGATAGGTAGGACATGTATAGCTAACAAGGGAGAAATAGCATGATCAAATAAAGAATAGGTTTGTTATGTTTGAAGAGCAACAAAGAATCTGCCTTAGCTAAAGTAATAAGGTTTAGTAGGAATAGTAGGAAATAATATTGGGAAAGTAGGGTGGGAAGATTATAGAGAGCCTTGAATATCAGCCTCTGTGGAGTTTAAACTACTATATATCCTAAAGCCATTAGAGATCTTTTCAGTAAGGAAATGAGAGAGGGAATAAAATGGCAAGCCTTTACATCTGGTATTGGCCATTACCATCAGAAAGTATTTCGTAAATACTAAATTGTATACAGTACTATGCAAGTTATTGTACAAAAAGAACTAGAGACCTCTTCCCTACCATTGGGACACTAAGTGATTTTTACGTCCTTTTGATAGTGTGATTTTTACTTCTTTTTGATAGCTCTCCTCCACAAAAGTCCTACTCTGATGCCTCATCGTGGTGTGGAGGTGACCCTGGGTTCTCGAAGGCTATGCCAGCGGAGCGCAAGCTCTGACAGGTTCTACCAAGCTGGAAAGGCTTCGAGTATGGTCCCAATGACAGACTGTGTCTGCTGTCCAAGGACCAGCCTAGCTAAGTACAGAGAGGCTCATCACCAGAAGGCTGGCCTCTAGGTGATGAATTCTTTGTCCATGCTGACGTATGAAACATAAAAGTAAAAGATGGCCTTTCATCTTATGCAGTCTACTTCCATTTCCACAGTGACAGTAGTGGAAAAAGAGGCAGGGGGTACTAAGAATCATATACTGTTTAAACTGTTTAGAGACATTAATTTAATGGTCGGTACTCTTAATATGAGATTTTGGTCCAACAACCAAATTGACAGGCTCTTAGAGAAATTGAACCACATCTATATTGACGTTTTTTAAAAAGAAGTCTGAAAATATAAAGAAGTTTCATCTAAAATGAAAGATTGTTCACAAGTTCTTCTTCAAGAAATGAATAAAGGAGATAATGGAGTTGGTTTCGTGGTATTCCCAAAAGACAACAAACAAAAAAATTTCATGAGCCACTTGATCATTTTGCCTTGCAGTGCTCATGATGAACATAAGCAGACTATCACGAAGATAACTGTAGCTTTTGTGTCAACATGTGCTGCAGAATATGAAGATATAGAGAAATTCTATGAAGAATTTGACCTGATTCTCTGAATTAAGTCAACATACTCAGTGATTTCAGTGAAAAAGTGAGCACAAGGTATGGAGGTAAAAAGATGTTGGAAAATGTAGCTTGGGAATAGGAATGAAAGTAAGTAAAGTCTTATAAACTATTCAGAAGCCTCATGCTTGTATCTCCTGAATAAGTTCTTCTGGAAGAGATTTGGAAATCGATGAGATTAAGTATATCTTAACAGAGTAAAAGACTAGTTGCTGACCTAGGAATCATTGGAGAATCATTGGTTGTTGGGCAGTCAAGTTAGTAGCTGGTTAGAGCAAACGTTAGAACTAATACCAAATTAGAATAAAGAAAGAAAATGAGAAGACAACACTGTAGGCAATTACAGTAATGCAGTCTTACCTTATCTAGACAATTTGTTGAGTCTGAAAAATTGGAACTAGAGAAAAGCAAAGACGTTGACTTTGGTTATCATTTATTAGAGAACTTAAACAATTATAAAACAGTTGCCAGAATAAGGGGCCAAAAAAGCCCAGAAGCTACATTGACCAATACTTGATCCTCTAATCAGGCAAGGAGGTGTGTGGAAGACAATGGCAACATCAAGTCAGGCTGCAAGTTCATTTATAAAATGTGGAACAAGATGGTGCAAGAATGCCCAGCAGTTAGGTTTGCTCTCAAAAAAAAAATAATGGAAAACTGTGGAGGATAAAACCAGTCGTGTAGAGAACTTGGTGTGAGGTTCCAGAGAATTCGTAGATGAAATTGGTAAGACACCAAATAGATATGAAATGGAACCAGTCTGCCAACTTTCTTGTAATGGTCTTTTCTCATCATCAGTGATAGTAGAACTACCACATTTTGATTCTTCCACTATAGTATTAAGTGTGCTATGTAAAAAAACAGTAATGATACTTAAGAAGATACAAATAGGAATAGTGTCTGGATCTTCCCAAATACAGAAGAAATCTATGTTAGAAGGTACAACACATTAAAAGAAACTCAAGGATCATCTTTTCAACATAAATCTAAAAGAAGAAACTTCCAAACCAATAGAAATGATCATGGATGGTGTTGTTAACAGATGAAAAGTGAGCAAGAAGAGATAATCAGCTATCAGATCATATGCCTGCTTTTCTCTTCTCTATAAAATCTTCATGAGAATTTTGTATATACAAGGTATACTTGATAGAAACATAAGAAAGGAATAGGCAGGCTTTCATAGGTGATTTTCTGCTGCATTCCACATCTTCACATTCACACGATTGAGAGAGATAGAAAACATGAGATTACTTTGAATTTGTTGATTCAAATAAAAATTGGTTCAGTAGAGCAAAATGCATCCTTAAATTCTTTTCTATGACAAAATGTCTCCCATACCTATTTTAGGATCGAATAAGCAGCCTTGATAATCTACAATGTGGCTAACTTTGTTCAATGATCTTAGACAAGTCAAGATCAAGTAAAACAAAACAAACATGTGCTCACTAAAGGTATTCACAAATATCATGGAGGATGTCTTGCACCAAGTCCAGATAGACGAGAGCTTCTTTTACAGATGGGGAAGTTTTCTTGGTGCTGTAATTTGCAGATGACATCATAAATATATCAAGTTGTGGAACGTTATCAAGCTATGTAAATGAGCTGCATTGCACAAAAGAAATTGTTTTAGCAATCTGTATGAAGAAAACAAGTGGTTGAAGAATGCATATTGTCCAGATTATGAAATGTAATTGGATATTCTGCTCATTAAATTAACCCAGCCAGCTATACGTCTTGGACAGAAGAGATTGCACTGGATCACGTCTGGGAAATGGCACAGGGCTTTCAGCAATCCCAAGCTACTTCCTGCCACACAAACCCATTTCTGTAATACCAGTAGTCACTCCTTGTTGCTGTTTTGCTGGCAATCATGGAAAATCATGACCTTAGAAGAATCAGAATTGCAGATGATTCAAAGGGTAATTGAAAAGGGCATGGTGGTTATAAATAGGTTATAGTATTATAACAGTGATGACTTATATGTAAGTGGTAGGCATCACGGATGTGCAGGACCAGAAAACACACTAAACCAATCTTGTAATAAAAATCAGAAATTATAGATTGTACAACATGAGTACTTACCTGCTATTCATGAAATATTAAAATAACCATAGGAAGGCCTTCAGCATTTTGAATAGATCCTCTATGGAGGACTTATGGAAAATAATGGACAAAAATCGTACAGGATGAGCAGGCGTGGAAGAGTTGTGATCTGTACTATTGGAGGGATTACCTATATCGATGAGATCACGGATCCATTGTGCCAAAGTAAGTTTGATAGCTCATTTTCTCTCAAAATGTACTTTGTTCTTCCTGACTAATCATGGAATCTGCCTGAAAATAGAGGAAGAGATCCTTCAGTGTAAAGTTAGCTAAATGTTTTCATGGCTGCAAAGTTACTTACATATTTACTTGCTCACTTTTTTTTAAATTGACTCTTAATAGATGGCACAAGGCAAAAGTCATATGCACAAGACATGTTAACATCTCTTCATTATTTGGATGGCCGCTTTGTTCAACCTCGCCTAGAAAATTTAGTTTCCAGAAGTCGCTGGAAAGAGCAGTATAAGGTATTCAGTTTCTTTATCATTAATGCATGAAGATGCTAATGGCAACAAGAACAGATTCGTCACCGCCTCAGGCAAAACTTCGCTTTACTTACTTACATTTAAATATTCAAAACTTTTGACCCTGCTCAAATGTAGACATTTCTAAGTATTTATAAAATCAACTTGTTTTTACTCTCCCATTTTTAGAAGATGTTGATTGTTTTGATTATTCTTACTTGTATATAGTTATTGATTAGATTATTCTAATAGCTGATTAATTTAAATTCTTTAATTTCCTATTGAACATAACACCTTTAGGTCCCAAACTTAGCTAATATGCCTTGAAAGTCTTATTTCCTTTTGCACTGTTCTGAAGGCCAATTATTTCACAAGTCTTTAGTCTATGTTGCTGGGTATTTTATGGCAAGGGAGAAATAGGCCTCCATGTTACAATCCTTTATCACTACAAAGTTATTCTAGGAAATTCCCATCCTAAATCTCTGCAGATACAACTATGGTAATTTTAAAAGGAATTTAAAAAGAAAAAAAACTAATACTGTACCACAGCGCCACCTGGCATACACAAAACAGTATGTGTCCAGATTACTTCAGTTCGCTACAAATGAAACCTCCCTTTCCATTTTGTTTGTTTCCCAAGAACTTTGACAGTACCATGGGAGGCAATTTCCATTACAGTACAGGTTGTATTAGCATTCAGAGCAGACAAATAACAGGAGTATTTTAGCCAGTTTCCCTCATGTAGTTAACATGCATGAGAAGCTTGTGATTCTTCTTGGAACCATTTGTTGCAAATTTTTTATAAATTGGTTAGAGTGCGGCATGGTCAATTTTTGATACACCTAAAATAGAAAATCCACCTTATGGATTATCCAATCCCTTTGCTTCCTTTCCCATATAGTTCTTTAATAGGGAAAATCATTCAGTTTTACTGTTTGTTATCAATTCTTACATTTGAGAAGAAGATAAAAATGAATATATTAATAATTTCTCATATATATACACATATATATTTTCTGTGTTTCTTTACATGAGTTCAGTTAACGTAATGAACTATGAATCCATTCATTTAGCAAACATTTATCGGGTACCTGCTGTACACAAGACATTGTGGTAGTGGAAGAGCTAGGTGGTGCAGTGGATAGAGCTCTGGCCTTGGAGTCAGGAGGACCTGACTTCAAATCTGGCCTCAGACACTTGATGCTTACTAGCTGTGTGACTCTGGGCAAGTCACTTAACCACGATTGCCTCGCCAGGAAAAAAAAAAAAAGACATTGTGCTAGGCACTAGAAGAAATAAATACTGTTGTTGGTTTTCCTTATATAAATTCTAAGGTCATTTTGAATTATTTTTAAAAACATCATTCATTCATTAATTTATTCATTGTTTTCAGGAACGAGTGGAAAATTATCCTAATGTAAGTATCCGTTGGAGAACTCCTGAAAATTGTTCTTGCCAGGCCTGTGGACTCCACCGATACTGTAAATATACAGTACATTTGTCAGGAAAATTGTACAATGACAGGACCATGGAAACAGATGATTTCATGTCACATGACAAACAGGTAATTTGTTTTCTTCTAAATCATTTTCATTGACTAAGACTTAGAATTTTGTAGTGAGTAAATGTATGTTTCCACCATCAGAACCAATGGAAGAATATGAGTTTGAAGTGGAGGAGACTACTAATAGTTAATATCTGATTGAATCTGGAATAAGACTTTATGCAATAGATTTACTTTACTGTTTATATTCTGGTTATGCTAATATAAACATATAGTTTATATTCCCTAAATATGTATTAACTGGGTAGTGATTGGGAGGGTTAATGGTTGTAGAGTAGGCAATTCAGGAAAGTATTAGGCATTGGGTGAAGTTAATCCAGGATGAAAATTTTACTACAGATAATTCACCAAATGGAGAATTACTAACAAAAAAAAATTTAATCCATTTTTACCATACATGAAACCATAATTTCAGAAGTATCTATAACATCTAATTATAGTTTAAGAATCTTAGTACATAGAAGGTTCTCACTTTTGAGTGCAATGTTTTAAAGATATGTTTTAAAAAGGATTGATATAAAGCAAAATCCTGACTGCACATAATATTGTTATCCTTGTTTAGACTTCAACAGAAAGTATCAAGTGAATGAGTAAAGCTAGCAAGAATAGTTGTTTGTTAGATAGTATCTAATGAATTAAAACTATGAAATGTCAATCTGTCCTCCCCAAAATGGGGCCTATTAATATTTTGGGGGGGAAATCTACGTCTAAAATGTACTGCATTTATAACCAAAAAAATGTCTATGATTGAGAGATGTTCCTGGAGATTAATCAGCATTTTCATTGTCTGGAGTTGGAAACCCAAATCTGAACTCTTTAGTTCTTCTCAGCCAGTCATCAGTATGGCAAAGCCTGCATTTCTCTGTCATATAAGGTAATGTGTTTTTTCATAACTCTTATACACTGACTGACCAGGTTCCTATGGGGAATTTATGCTGTGAATACTGCTCAGAGGGTTCATAGCAGGTAGTGAATTCAAAATTAGGCTTTATTGATTAACTAAATAAATTATTGTAAAACTTCTGCCTTTCTCTATGTTTTATGCATTACTTATATTGTCTAATTAACTTATTTGATAAATTATCATACAAGTCAATAGACAACCATATAACATGTGCCTTTCCCAGTAAAACATAGTATATCATTCATGGGAACAGGATTTTCCCAACCGTGTATTTGAGGAATTAAAAATACCTCTTCACATCATGTTTGTCGTGTTTAGCTAACCCTGGGTCTGTCCCAGAAAAGCTTCCCATCTGTTTAATCATGGAGCCAGCTCACAGTGGTAGGTGAAAAACAGACAGAGGATAGGGGTTAATATCAGCTCTTAACAGGATGGGGTTTGGACCTAGAGAGAAAGCAGAACAGCTGTGGAAAATTGCCTAGACATCCATTTCTAGGATTATCTGATATGGGATAGACTAAGCAGGACCATCAGTTTTATTGAGGCTCCTCTGAAGATCCCGTAATCCATAACTCAAGAAAACCAAGGTTCCCTCACTTTTATGCCAGAGGATATTCATGGTCTAAATGTCCTAAGATCAGGCTTTATCTGCTGAAAGGTAATACCTGCCATTAGGAAATAGGAGCCAGGTTTAGGATAAGCCAGATGCTGCAGTCCTGAGCATTTTTCTTCTTCATTGACAGAAAAAGATCCTTCTGTAGTGGCCCATGGACTTAAAGTCTCTGGACTTAAAACTAATAGGGCTGGCTAAAAAATCAGATATGATTCATTGAGCACTTGAAAGATCTACCATAAACTTCCCAGTTCTTCTTGAGAATCTACAAATCAAGGACTCATTGGATTAACAATGAGTCTGTTTTAAAAATGAAAAATAAGCCTATAGTTTATTATGGATTGCTTGAGTTGCTCCTTCATAAAACAAAGCCCACTATGACTCGACTTAACCTTATTTTCCAAGGAGAGCCTAGAGTGGTATGACAGTGAAATCAGGGAGGAGCAGAAAACTTACTTCTTTAACACATTTGAGAAGATGCCCTCTCTCCTACATCTCTCAGATGCCTTAGGGAGCTGAGGTTTCACAAGTGACTGCCAGGGTCAGATATGCCTGAAAAATGCAGTATCTTTGAAAAGACAATTTGATGGGCTCAAGTGTACTCAAGGAAAAGAAGTGAGTCTGTCAAGTAGTAAGAGTTGAAGACAACTAAATATGGAACATTTTAAACAAAGGACGGGAAGAAAGCCTTTAGCACACAGGATATAGAGAATTTGTGATAAAATATGGACAAGAGTCACATAGGATGAAAAGGCAGAGTCTGTGGTCTATATTAGTGTGGGCAGTACCCACCTCAATGAAACCAGAGATCCTTAAAATAGAATATCATAGTTTATAGGAAACACTAATTGATTAGTGTTAGATTATTCAGATTTGTAACTTTTTTTACTCATTTTTAGCATATTAGTAGCGCTAGCTAATTTTAATTTCTATCTAAATTTTTAAATAACTGCTTTCTTGAACCCAGGTCTTCTGGATTGTAGGCTCATAGGATTTAGATCTGGAAGGGACCTTAAAGATCATCTAGTTCAACCTCCTCATTTTACAGATGAGAAAATTGAGACCCAGCAATGTGAAGTGACCTGTGTTAAGTAGCTGATCCTGGTTTCAAACACAGGACTACTGACTCCAGTCCAGTGCCTTTTCAACTCTATCGTGCTGAAATCCTGTATCCACAGGATAAAACTGGTACAGCAGCAATAAATGGTTGGAACAATTATTAACTAAAATCATATTCTGAAAATAAGGTAAACTAGTACAGTTTGATTTGAATCTCATTTGGCAAAACAAGTAATATAAACACTGGTAGGGAAATTATCCACCCTAATTTTTTATTGATAATTATCCATGTGCCCTTTTTATTTGCCAATTAATTTTTTAAAGTGATTAATGGGACTGATGATTAAAAAAGCTTCTTCCCTTGGAATTATGAGCTTATCTATGTAGGTACCTCTTTGAACAGTGCCAGTCTCAATCCATCCACATATTTTTCTCCTGCCTAATTTTTGTCCTTGGAGTCCTCCCATAAATCCTCCCCAGGGTGGCTACCCAACTTGCCTGAGGACCTTCCTCTAGATCTCTTGACTTTTTTGTGAGTATCCATGCAACACTTGGGCTTTCCATCTCTTAGCCCTCAGTTTCACTACATAATCATCCCACCTTATTTCCCTCTCATATTTTCTTTTGAAAAGCATTGCGGCCTATGTATGCCCATCATATATCTCTCCATTGTCTTTTGGGCAGCCTGCAATTTTCATTCTTTTAAGATTGATTCTATGATTTCTAGCTATATAGTATCATTGGAAGAATATTGGTGTTAAAAATATTAATTTTTGATTTTGGGGAAAAACTCTTGAAAATGCTGAGCGATTTGCCAAACATCATTCATCTATTCTTTCCTTCATGTTCAGGTCTAGGCTTACCCTTGTTATTCATGTGCTTTGTCTGTCTAAAATACATGTGTTGACGGACCAGCATTATATCAAATATTAGTACTATCATGAACACACATGCAAATTATACTAATATATAAGTACCTGTGTAATTGGAATTAAAAGCTAAAAAAGAAATAGGTTCTGAAGGTTTTAAAAAGGGGTTGAACCCAATGGGAAATTTTAATACAAAAATAAGTTTCTGGCTTCAGGTTTCCATCAATTTTCCTACACTCACATGGCCCCTTCTTGTTCAAACCCTCATCATTTCTCACTTGAACCATTGCAGTGGTTTAATAATTGTTCTCCCTTCTTCAAATCCCTGCCCTCTCCAGTCTTTCCTCCACATAGCTGGTAAATTGGTATTCATAAAGCATACATCTGAAAACGTTACTTCTGGGCTCAAGAAGCTTCTTTGGATCCTTAATACTTCTAGAATAAAATGCAAATTCCATTGTTTGGTATTTGAAATTCTTCAGAGTCTGACTTCAACCTTTTTTTATAGAGCAAAAGTTCCTAACTTGGGGTCCATTAACTTTAAATGGGAAAAATGTGATGATAAATATATTTCACTATAATTGGTTTCCTTTGTAATTCTATGTATTTTATTTTTTGCATTTAAAGTCATTATTCTGAGAAAAGGCCATTAGGATTCACCAGATTGCTGAAAAGGTTCCTGACATAAGAACCCATGCTCTAAATTAATTTCACATTACTCCCCTCATGTACTCTGTGTTCTAGCCAAATTGGTATACTTGATATTCTCCATCTGTGATTATTTCATCTCCCACCTCTATGTCTCTGCAGGCTGTCCCCCATGCCTGGAATTTTCTTCTCTTCACTTCTGCCTTTTAGAACACCTAGTTTCCTTCATTGCTTAGCTCACATGATACCTTCTAAGAATCGTTTCCTTATTCCTCCAATCATTAGATTTCCTCCCGATAATTTGCTGTGTCTTTATTTTGTATGTGGTTCTCTGTATACATTTCAAATCCTTTATTCTCCCTCCCTGGTAAAATATAAACTCTTTGTGGGCAAGGACTTTTTTGTTTTTGTATCCCCAGCACATAACAGAGGGCTTGTCACTTGGTAGGTAGGTCTCTTAAATTGAATTCTATCACTTTTTCAATTTATGCATCAACAGATAATATGCTGACTTAGTGTAATATATTGAGAGCTTCTAGTTCTTTTGCCAGTGAAACTCTTTGAGGATCTTCCTGAAGCATTCCATTCCCTGGATTACTATGGGAATTTTTGATATTAATCTCATTTTGTTAGAAAAATTTCCCAGTTACCCAAAAACATATAGATGTCAGTTTATGAAGGACCTTTATTCTACTTAAGAACATTATAGCATTGAATTAGTTAAGCAGTGATGTGCCTGTTATATTGTGTAACCATGCTTTACTCTATTGATGACAGAGAAAAGAGAGACCTGCCATGCAGTTGTATAATAAATGGGAGAGAAAATTGGTAAACTAATGAATTAGGGCAACCAATTTAAAATATTCTCAGAGCTTGGGTCTATTAGAATCATGCTTTCATAAGAACAATGAACATGTAGCCTGGATGTTCTCTGTACTTGCACTGTTTTTTAACAGGAAACATCATATTATGTTCTCTAAAATCACAGTTGCAAGGGATTTGGTAAATGATGTTCGGTAGCTGACTGAAGAAAATTCCAGCTGTGATTTTGCCAGAAATGAGAAAAAAATGCTATAATGGTTGCCACAGTCAATTTCCTTTACTTCTTTAAAGTAGCAGTTTAGCAACATTTTAGAAGTCTGGTCATATATCTGCATTGCAAACTGTTTTAGTATGCCAAAGTTGTCCATAGAAACACTGCTGTTGGCAATTACAACAGCCTGCCTAGGATAATTTTCTATAACTGTTTTTGATACAACACAGATAGTGGATAATTTAGGAGGTTTAATTTTAATTCAAGTTGCAGTATACTGAAAGCAAACTTTTTTTTACGTCTACGAAACACTCTGAATATACTATCACATTTGATCCACACGACAGCTTTGTGAGATAGGTGGCATAAATATTGTCCCTACTTGAGATTAGGTCTCCCAGGTCTAAATCTATTCCTTTTTATTTCCACAAAGTAAAGGGAATATATTTATAGTCAATTTTTAAGTTGGAGAGAAGAGGAATGAAAATATTTTACATTTTAATTTCCTAGGAAGAAAAGCATTCTTTATGCATAACACGTCTTATTTATCTACTTCTATTAACAGCCTCCTGGATTAGATCTTTACTTATCCAAACTACTATTCTTAAAATTTTCTGTAAATATCACCTACACAGTGGTTACTATGTTTTGTTTGCAAATGTTGATAAGAAATTTTAAAATTTCATGGAACATAGTAGATGTCTTGTAAAATGTGCCCCTAGTGTTCTGTGTGTTTACATTTTAACATACGCTTTTTGCTTGTTACATGAATTCAGATATACTTCAACTCATTTCATGTCTCTTGAACCACAATTATATATAACAAAAACTTGAACTAACCATGGTAAAGCCTATAAGGTAAGAATTAGTTTGGATTAATAATACCAATGTAATACAGAGTACCTCTGCTGTATTTTGCAAAATTCAATAAAGTTAGTCAAAAGATGTGGCTAGATGTAGTTTCCTTAGTTGTAACCCTTTTCATATATTGAGAGGAGAGGAAAAGTTTGTTCTTTTAAGAGAACAACAGTTTCTTTTATTTACCTTTTTACTGTCAGTTTTTAGTTTTATAATTAATGATTATATAATATTCTCCCCCAGTGTCACTCCCATTCCACCTACTAGTTTTGAATTTCACACAAGAATCAGGACAAGACTATTTGTGACAACAAATACCAGCAATAAGTCTGGTGTGTTTTGTGTAATTTTTAAATTTTTCATTGTATTTATAGTTGTATCTTTTTTTTCATAATGATCCAGATAGAATAAGATTATACATTCCCATAGATATTATTTAATATTTATTGGACATCAGCATTCTTATATTTTAATACTGAAGATCGAGTTTGGCAAAGTCCTTATTTCCTAAAAATCGAAACCTAGTTTAACAGTTTGATACATGGCAATAGAATTATGCAGCAATGGGGGAAGAGCAGGAATTGAGATCTGTAATTAAAGTGTAATATAATATATACTAGCACTCAGTTAAATCATGAAGTAGTCACCATAGCTAGAGGCTATAAATTTCAAAAATAACAATTTGACTTTAAAAAATAGATCTCTAAGTCTCAAGATGTTTTTCAAATTTAACATTTTAGTAAATTATAGTGTTTTTTAGTACAAAACATTAAAATATTTTTATAAGATTTATATTCACAAATTTGGTATATATTTATATGAGTAATCAGACTCCATAAATAAAAAGCCCACTCTCCTCATCATTGCCTTTTGTTGAAGGTGACTCATTGTAGTCACGTTGCTCTCTAGTCTTAGGAGGGAACAATTTATTGAAATATATTTTTGCCCCTTGTGATAAAAGGTTCATGACCAGAAAGTTGGCTACCAGGTGACAATTTTTTTTTCCTATAGCAACCACAGATAAAAATACTAAGTGACTCTCATTAAGAGTTACTGTGAAGGGTGGCAGAGGGGCAGGAAAGGGGGCAGAGAATACTATGAATGCTGTCTACAAACATTGATCATCTCTGTATGAACTCTGTCTAATGACCAAGAGTGAACACACTACTGAAAAAGGTGCACAACATGCATAAAGACATTTTCCCTGTAAATGAAATCAATAAGCAAACTTTTTAAAGTGATTGCCATGTGCCAGGCACTATACTAAGCATTGGAGATACAAAAAAAGGCAAAAATAGTGTAGCAACTAAATTGAACGATGTCAGGTTATCCTTGTAGAGGCAAATAAAAAAAAATCAGTGAGGTTTCATCATGTGCAGAAAGACAAGACACATCTTTTCATGAGATATTTGGCCCTTTTGCATTATGTTGTCCCTCATGAACATAAGAAAAGAGACCACCATGAAAATAATTGCAGTTTATACGCTAAGATCCATTTCAGAGA